TAGCCACTTCTTGTTCTACCCCAAGTCTGGTGTTGAAATTTTTTCTTTCTAATTCCCATTTTTCCTTTTCAATATTGGATTCTTCCATCTTTTGGCCTCTGACTTCAAGTTCAGCAATCAACTGGTTCATTTCAGATTCAAATCCCTTGAACATGCTATTTTTCTCACCTTCAAACTTATTAAAGATGTCATTCTTCATATCTTCTAAATCTTTGGCTCGATCCCTTTCTCTATGCATTTCATTCATGATCTCGCGGTGTTCAGCCTTGTGTTTTATAATTCGCTCTCTTCTGTCGACCTCAAAATCTTCCATTTTTTGCTTTCCTTTCTCAAGGCTTTTGAGTATACGGCTATTCTTTCCTTTCAGATCTTCAACTCGTCTTTTCTCGATATTCAATTCTCTGGTCATCTGTACCGTCGATTGGCTGGGTCCTGATGCTTTTCGGGATTTATATAACTCCTGGTAATTTTTCTGTAAGGCTCTGTACTCATCCTCACCTTTTTCTTTATCTTTTTTCAACATTGCACATTGTGATGAATGAAAGTCAATGTCAACCCCCAACATAGCTTTATCTTGTCTCATTTGCTCTAACTCTTTCGACCAGCCTTCTCTTTCTGCTTCAAACTCAACTCTCAAGATTTCAATCTCTGATGGAACCACCTTAATGCGATCTTCCATAGAGATATCCTCATTTTGATCTGGTAGAGGAATATTTTCATTTTTTCTGACAGATCTCCATTCTTCATAATCAGGAGTTAGCATTTCTTTTGCTGCTTTAGCTCGGATACAAAAAGTTGTTTTCCAAGCTGTAACGGCTTCCATGATACTTCTTTTATAATTTTTGCTATGGAATGCAAATTCAGATGACTGCAATCCAGCAGTGACAGGTACAAATTGACGACCCTCATACTGTCTTATAACCAAAAGTGGTGCATATCCAATTCCTCCCCATAATCCAAGCAGCATTATCCAATTGTAATCACCACATCTGTAAATGAATTCCCTTTGGATTTGCCACGGGGCTCGCCAAACAACGTCATTACTTTGCAGATTTCGAAAAGCATTAATCCACATATCTTTCTTAATTTCTTTCGGCCATTCTTGCTCCAGAAATTCTTTTAATGGTGAGTAATCTGTGTTAAAGCGTCGGTATGAAACCTTTTCTGTCCTCCAGAAATGGCTACGGACCCAAACATATAACAACTGGGTACACCCCGAGAATCGTCCACCTCCTAACTTTCTACAAGCATTTAACGATCTGAAGGTCTCTGCTAGAATTGCAGAAGCAGGATTAATCTTTTTCGGTAGCTGTTCAAACAAATCTACCACTGCAGCTTCAACATATCCCAATACTTTTGGGAAGATGACCATACCATATATACCCAGAGCAAATAAATCGAATCGTACTTTAGAGTCTGGATGGCTCTGAATAAGTTCTTTAATGTTGGTCCAAGCAATGCCTTCGCTTTCGCCTTTTTGTTTTGTACGGGCTGCTACCCATTCTTCTCGTACCCCGGCAATCTTTGCTAATTTAACTCGAAAAGGTTGAGTTTTAATTGACTTTGAATAGATTCGATTCTCCAACGCCTCTTCGATATGTAGCAAAGTTGTGTATTCTTCAATATTAGGGACCAAGTCTTCCTTATTGAGAGTGAAGCAAGTGTACCCTGGATTCCAGAATTGAATTAGGGCTCTGAGTAATTCATCATCAACTTCAACATAGAGCAAATATGGGATGTCTCCATAAGTCTGATAAAACTGCAATTTTTTGTTTGAATCCCAACTTTCCCAAATGCTTCGCAAATCTTGCATATCATTTCTTTTTAGTGAAACTGAAGCATAACTGGCCAAGTCAGATACATAATCATCCTGCAGACTGTCTTCTTCTTGTCTTTGTAAATTCTCAGCCCACTGTCTTACTTCTGAATTTAGAATTACTCGACTTGAACACTTTTTATCCATAGATGAAGGCTTTCCAATGAGACAATTAACACAAGGATCAATGTCTTTTATCATGTATGATGCTATGCAAACAGAAAAATAAAGAACACAGAAAAAAGAAAATAAATTAGTTTACATAATAAAGAAAATTTAATAATAACATTTACATAAATATTCTTTATTTAAACGTTTTTTTTCTGAATTTAAATAATTTAAATAAACATGTAATTTAAACAATAAATAAATTAACAGGAAAGTCAGAATTTATTTCTCCTGTGTGTACACCTAATTTGGACAAAATTTCGGCATGACTTCTGATCGGAAGAGTTTCTAAGGTTTTTTATATGCAAGGTTTCAGATCTAAGAATAAAGGTACCCGAATTGTCCTTGTTAGTGCCCCATTGGGTTGCTAACCCTCAATCCTAGTCCATCACAGACTAAAGTGGATCGAGTTCAATTCGAGGGGATACATTTCTCTATGCCTGACACGGAGAATAAATTCTCACGAAGACATAGAGCATATGAACCCCGAAAGTTACTTGCTAGGTCTGACACGGAGAATAAATTCTCACGAAGACTTCGCTTTCACTCCCACTTAAAAGGGACAACTCAATTATAGAGCTTTATGTAATGCAATGCAAGTGTTGTGTGTGAGGAGAAATGTTCAAACCTTTGACAGAAAAATAAATACTGAAATAAAATACTTGCAAATAAAATAAAACATATAAATATTATAAAAATAATAAATAAATAAAAAATTTGAAAAGAAAGAATTAAAAATTAAATATATGAACTTTTAATTTTTAATTAATAGAGACAATTTATAATTGATTTTTAAAAGTTTGACCGGTCCCCAGCGGAGTCGCCAAGCTGTCGTAACCGGTTTTCGTCCGGGCACGAAATATTTATTTGGCGGGGAAATTGATGTGAATAAATAATTTTGAAAATAATTTGTGAGTCGCCATCGGCCTTTTGGGTCAGGTAGGTCGAATACCTAAAAAATATCTTTTGAAAGAGTTTTTAAGAAAACATCAATTAAAAGATAAACTGATCTGCGTTTTAACCAAAAATTCGTTCTTTTTAATAATAAAAAGGGATTCGTGGTCGGTTACGTTTAGGGAAGGATTAGCACCCCTACAACGCCCAAAATTGGTACTTTTTAATTATAAATTGTCTCTATTATTAAAATTTAAAAATTCAAAAAAATATATTTAATTTATAATTCTATTATTTCAAAATTATATAAAAAATATTTATTTATTTAAAAATATCAGAAAATAACTTCTAGGTGCCTTAAGACAGCTCTTTTCTTTGATATTGATAAATATTAATTTAAATAATATTGTTTAAAAAATATCAGAATAGGACATCCAGTTGTATTAAGACTGTCCTTTTCTTCGATATTAAAAATAAACATTAAAATTTATTCCAGATTTATATATATATATATATTTATGAATACATAAAATATTAAAAAATATAAACAAATAAAATTAAAACAATAAAAATACCACTAAAACAATATATTTTAAAAGCAATAAAATAAATGAAAACTTATAAATTAAATGACTAAATTATAGTAAAAATAAAATTAAAAACTTAATTCAATATTAATCAAAGTTATAAGGATTAAATATGTTATTTCTTTATTTTATTTATTTAGTGACTAAAATAAAATTATCTAAAATTCGGATATTAAAATAAAATAAATTAAAAATATAAACGAAGGATTAAAATATTATTTATTAAAATTAAGGGATTAAATCTGTAATTTATCCTAAATATATTATTTTAATATGAAGGACTAAAATAAAAAGAAATTAAAATTCGAAAACTGAATTAAAAATATTATAAATTCAATTTAGTGACTAAAATGTAAATTTTACAAATTATGAGGACTGCGGACAGGGTTTAACTATTGTATAATTACGCGCATAGTCCTTCCCGAAACGACGTCGTTCGGGAAGGCCTATATATGGTCCAAAACCGGCTGGCCCAAAGGGCCAGCCTTCATTTTTCATTTCACACTCTCTCTCTAAACTGAGAGAGTTTTAAAACTCTCTCGCCTCTCTCTAGCTTCCCTCACCGGAGGGAAGCCGGTCACCGGACGGCAACCGTGTGCCACCGTGATTATCACCGCCGGCCACCGGATGCGGTGGCCGGAAAAAAATATTTTTATACTAATAGATAGATCGGACCGTCCTAAGGACGGTTCCGGTATTATTTCCTCCTAAAAAGCTCCCAATCGGAGCGAATCTACAAAAGTACCTTCGGTGTTTCGAAGGTTCCGGTGAGATCCGGTGACGGTTAGGGTTCTCCGATGACAGGGTAAGCTTCTTTCCTCTCTTCTCTCTTTTTTCCTTGCTGCGTTGATGTTGACTGAGATCGTTGGTATATTTTAGTATATTTTTTCTCTGTTTTTTTTTTCCTCTCTATGTTCTCTCTTTTTTTCTGTTTCCGTCTCTGCCTCTGTCTCTGTTTCTTTTTTTTCTTCAGGTTGGGGTGGTGGCTTTTATAGCCACCACTGTTGTAGCCGTCGGACCGGTCCGAAGAATGCTCTTTGGTGAGTCACCGGACTCCCAGTGGTGACTCACCGTTTGGGGAAGACGTGTGCGGCTACGGAGGCGGCGAGAAAGTGTCGGCAGTGAAGGCTTCTGGAAGCAGCAGCGGCGGCGCTGGGACGTGTCCCTAGGGTATAGATACCCTAGGGTTTCCTCTGGCAAACTGTGGACCGTTGGATCAAACCAGATCCAACGGCTGGGATTGAAGATGGCGGCTGGTTTAGATTAGGGTTAGGAAACCCTAACTGGAAACCCAAATGTTTAGGGTTTCTGGTTTGATTTGGACCGGTTCTGGTTTGTTTGTAACTGGGCCGGTCCAGTTGTAATTGGTCTGTAATTATTATTTATATATATATATGTTTAATATATATTTAATAATAATAATAATAATGATAATAATAATAATAATAATAATAATAGTAATAATAATAATAATAATAATAATAATAAAAATACTAATAATAATAATATGGATAAAAAATTAATATCTTCACTAGGCTTTGTGGAACATGGGAAATAACACGAAGGTTAGTACATACGGTTTTCAACATCGGTCTTACTATTCAGTCTAGTTTCTCACTGTTATTGCAAATTATCAGGCTGCGATAATGCGAATTGGTCTGAGAGAGATGATAGCTTTCTCCAAGTTGTTATTTTCATCTGTTAGGGATAGTACCTTCTTTGAAAGTTGTGGAGTTGCTGACGTCATCACAACATGCTGTAAGAAATCAGTATCTTTGGGTTAAGATCCTGTCCTACAGAGAGAAAAATAATGAAAAGGGAGCTTGACCCGGTGTCTTCGTACCTTCTGTTTGACAAAATTATTCTTATTTTGATACTAAAACCATGCCATTTGTTGGCAGTTGGAGGAAGAAACAGAAAAGTTGCTGAGGCATTTGCTAAGAATGGAGGAAAAAGGTCTGCCTTAACTCATATTTCTCCGGTTATTCATTTTTTCTTGCAGTACCCATATTTGACTCCCATGTCCAACATATTTTGAAACGGGTATTGAGATATACTCCTTCAAATATATGAAAATCTCAGAAAAAAGATTATTGTACCCATATCGGACGCATACCATTATCCTATGTTACTGGAGACTCGAGGTGAGTGTTAAAGATGTTACAAAATTTTATCATATTGCTTCTCATCTGCAGATCTTTTGATGAGCTTGAAGCTGAGATGCTGCAGGGCCAGAAATTACAGGTAGATCTTAAACAATTATGATCCTGAAAATAAATCAAAAAAGGGGATTTGGATAGTAATACTCGGATGTAGTGCCAACAATAAACAAATTTATATTTTAAAACTGTTTGTCGGGTCTGGATATTACTGAAAAATTGCAGATATCCTTACCTGGTGCATGCTAAAGGTTTGTTTGCTGATGAATAAGAGACCGTGTCTATCCTGTCGATCCAAAAGTTAGGAAATGTTGAGTTGTTCTCTAAGATGCTTTTGGATACTTTGTTTGTTGATACTAAATTAATCTTTTATCTTCTATCTAGGGTGTATCCACAGCTAGAGAGGTGTATCAAGTTTTAAGCCACCGCGGATGGCTGGAACTGTTTCCACTATTTGCAACAGTACATGAGATCTGTGTCGCTCGTCTTCCACCGTCCGCCATAGTTGAACACAGCGAGCAGAAACCAAAGTTATCCCTGTTTTAAAATTCCACCAGCTAAACATTGACTGTTATCGGTTTCAGTTCACCAAAGTAGCTTTCATCGGTCGCTCGTCATCAATCAGAGAGTATGAACGAGAGAAGACTGAACTGAAAGCCCCCTGGTAATTCAAGCAAAATGTAGTTGTGCCGGTGTTAACTAAACGGGTTGCAGGGTTGAATGAATGAAGGTTCCAATGTCAGTTTTTTTCCCTTCTTTTTAAGTGATTGTTCTCTTATAATATGGTTAGATAAACATGGTTAGTGCCATGCAGCCTACGTACTAATGAGCAAAGTGATGAAATCAGATTGCGAACAACTTATGCACTGCATGCATTTTACTTTTTTATACACGAAAGTATCACCCTGTTCTTATTCTATCCAGCCGATCAACGGTTTTGCGAGCTCTTTCCAACTGATGATTGATGCTTTTCCTCGACTTCTCGTGGCAATCCACACTTGCCACTGCTCCGGGACCTTTCCAAGTGCGAGGTCTCAGAGGCCTGTTAGTACTCTTCCTCGGTTTCTCTCTTCAATCAGTATTCTTCCTCGGTTTCTCTCTTCAATCAGTATTCTTCCTCGCAGCCTCGAGAACACGTGCGTACTCTGGGGACCAGAACTCTATTCATTTATAATATTATTTAAACAAAATCACAATGCCCTCGTGCAGGATTGAACTACAGACCTTCAGTTTACAAGACTGACGCTCTGCCATAGAGCTATAAGGGCTCTTGATATTTGTTTGCGAAATGTGATTTAATTTCTTATACTTGGCTCACAGCTAAAGAATGTAGAAGGGAACGCAAAAGCAAAGCAAAGCAAAAGGAGTTTCTAAAATATGAGAAATAAATTCTCCCTTTTATACTATGTATCCTTTCTAACAACGTGAAAATCAAACATGATTATTTCATCTTAACTATTAGACCATATAGTGGTATTCTCATTGCATGTCAAACACAAACCTTGATAGTGTAGAGGAATGGGAATTCAAGTGAAATTTACGAGGGAATTGCAGATTTTGAATCCCATAAGGACACCATTAATTGGTGGCAATGAGTAGTTTATAAAGGGAGAACAACGATGAAGGCCAGCCCCTTGTTCAATGTGCATCATGGCAGCAGAGCAAACCGATGTACTTCTCCAAGATGCAGCCGCACTCTCCATGTTTCCTGGGATCCTCATGTTGATCAGGGACTCAAACCCGCGGCAACGTGGTTGATCGACTTCATGAAGCATGTCATGATACTCCTCGAATGTCAGATCAAACCCTTTTTCGTGAGTTTTAACTTCAGGGGCCAAAATAGTAATATACATATATATATATATACACACTTTAGGGATCAATTCATGTATTAAGTCTTAACTTTTTATCTATTTCGAATCAAAATATGTAAAACAAATTGCGACTCAAATCCAAACACTATGATTTTAAATTAATTTCTTATTTAATAAAACATGACTAATTCAGAAATAATTTTATGATTTGTTAGCCGAGTGTTTGAAGTTTTAATTGCTAAAGCCCATTAACCTAAAAGAAAATGTGATCCGGTCCAATTGTGATAAGTCCACTAAAAGGATGCAAATAAAAATAAATTTAAAGCCACATTTGAAGATTTAAATTTTGAAGTTTGTCATAATTAAAAATAAGTAATAAAAGAGACCCTTATTAGCAAAAAGGGAAATTCTCTTTTTCTTCGCTTAATAGGTTTTCTTGTCCATCACTCCAGTCTTCACTTCATTTAACTTCCAAATTCTGATCTCTGGTTTGATTCTCTCTCAGTTTTTCCGGTGAGCTCTCCTGCGCCATCTTTTAATCAAAGTTCTAATCCTTCTGTTTTATTTCTAGGTTTAAATTTTAGTCAGATTTGAATTTGCTCCTTTGTTTTTAGGTCAAAGAAACAATTAATTCAAGGGGAAAAAAGAAACATGTCGAACTCTGTGATTGAAGTTCCTCCGAAGGGTGGATTCAGCTTCGATCTTTGTAAAAGAAACGAGATGCTTGCTAAGAAAGGTGTTAATCCGCCTTCATTTCGTAAAACGGGTACAACTATTGTTGGCTTGATCTTTCAGGTACTAACTTTAGTAGAAAAATTAATTTCTGTTTTTTTTTGTTTTACCATGATAATTTGGTTCACTTTTAGCTGATTTCAGTGTGTATGTAAATTCCAATATATGGGATTTTGTGCGTTTTGTTATCTTACGGTAAAAATTGCTTCTTTTAGCTACAGTTAGTGTATTATTTATATACTCATTTGGGTTTTTGGTTGGTTGATAATGAGAAGTTACAATAATTTGTTTGTGGTTTTTGTTATCGATGTTTAGATTAAGAAATCGAGGAAGGGGTGAATTTTACTATCGATAGTTTGCTATAGACATAGAGATGCTTAATTTTTAGTGTTGTTAGTCTTTCCTTGTGGTTGATTATTTCCAAGTGGGTTATGTGATGGTGAATTTTGAAATAGTTTGGTTATAGCTGTAGGATTTAGGATTTTGTTGAAGTGGAAGGTTTTGTGAGGTATATCTATGCTATCGTGATTTTAGGCTCATGATTTTTATTATTGAAACAAACCCTTGAAAAGCCGAAATAGAGAGAACAAAGTACCAATGTGATTGGCTTCTTGGTTGATTTAAAGTTAAATGGCAGCCGTGGTTCTTTGTGGGCTATATTGTTGATAAATATAGCTCGTAAGACAGAAACTGAGATGATGGTTGTAGGTTATTATCTGCTGCAGAACTTAAAAAAAAAACTAGAGTTGGTGCCATATTATTGTTAAATTGCCCAATGCCATCTTCTTTTCCTTATTTGCCATCTTCTTTTCCCTATTTTTAAACTTGTCATATGTACTGTCCTGAATTCTGATATTTGCTCTGCTTCTCTCTCCTTATTTGTTTTGTATGTTCCATCGAGCTTATTTCTGATGCCACTTAAGCAATGGCACTGATTTCACTTGAAATTTTGTATAGGATGGTGTTATTCTTGGAGCAGACACAAGAGCAACTGAAGGACCTATCGTTTGTGACAAGAATTGTGAGAAAATTCATTACATGGCCCCAAACATTTACTGTTGTGGTGCTGGAACTGCTGCTGATACAGAGGCAGTAACTGGTATTTCCTAAATTTAGTGTTTAATATTGTTTGAAAAACATCAGTAGTTTCTTCAAATTGAATGCTTGAGCACCTCACTTATAACTGTCATTTTCACATCCTCATTTTACTGTAGCTAACCCATTGTTTCGGTTTTATGCATATCCTCAGACATGGTCAGCTCGCAGCTCCAGTTACACCGCTATCATACTGGTAGAGAGTCGAGGGTTGTTACAGCATTGACCCTTCTCAAGAGACACCTTTTCAAGTGATTTTTCTTTTTTTTTATATTTTTTTACCGACATACTTCTACATTGTCTATATTAGAATATGTGATTCTAACTGCTTTGTATCTTGTCCAGTTACCAAGGCTATGTCTCTGCTGCTTTGGTTCTTGGTGGTGTTGATGTCACTGGACCTCATTTGCATACCGTGAGTGTTTTCCAACCATTCGGCACCTAAAAAGGACAGTAGTTTTTTGCCTTCTTTATTAGTGTAGTTTCTTATCACAGCAATTGCTTAAATTCTGCAGATATACCCCCATGGGTCAACTGACACATTGCCATTTGCTACAATGGGCTCCGGTTCCCTGGCAGCAATGGCAGTATTTGAATCAAAATACAAAGAAGGCCTTACTGTAAGTACAACTATTCATTTCTTTTGGTTTCTTGAAGATCAAGGGGTACACTACCCTAACATGTTCTATGATTATCAGTTTGTTTGCAATATAATCTCTTGTGATTTGTTTTCCATGTAAAATAAATATTTTGTGTGTTCGCAGTTACAAAGTAAAATAAATCAGCAGTGTTCGTTTTTGGAGCAACTACACCTATTTTGATCTGTAGATGATATTAAGTCAACTGTTTTTTTTTTCGCTTTGCAGAGAAATGAAGGAATTGAACTTGTCACTGAGGCTATATGCTCTGGTATCTTCAATGACCTCGGAAGTGGAAGCAATGTTGATGTTTGTGTAATAACTAAGGTTTGATGTTACTCACTAACCTCTTTTTGTTCTGTTCGAAGGGACACCATACATTCATCTTGATCTCAACTTTCTCATTTTAATGAATCCTCAGGGTGGCAAAGAATACTTGAGGAACCATCTACAGCCTAATCCTCGAACTTACACCAGCTCCAGGGGCTATTCTTTTCCCAAGAAGACAGGTTAGAATGTTCTTTACAATTTCAATCCATTTTAACCATGAAGAACATTTCATTGTGTTTCCACTTTCGGTTAAAACAACAACAAAATGTCATTTTTCTATTATCAAAGGTTTGGATGTTGCATGATTGAACTGTGATTACTATCATGTTTGGTCGATAGCAAAAAACTCAAATGTCAAAGCAAGGCCATCCTAATGGCCATAATAGTTGTTTATTCTATGTTATTCGGATTCGTTTAAATGTCAGTTACAAAGACGGTTGTATATCCAACATGGGTATATTCATGTCATTTCTTTTTCTTTTTAGTTTTTTTCATGTATTTATATCTTTGTATCTATACCAGAAAATGTCGAACATCAGTATTCCAAGTCACTATGATATTTTATTTGATTTTCTTGCTAATTTCTATTGCTGCAGAGGTTCTCTTGACAAAAATCATTCCACTTAAGGAGAAAGTGGAGATTATTGAAGGAGGCGACGCCATGGAAGAGTGAAGCAGACGTGTTGGCTTTCATTTATGCTCTTTAGAAAACAACTTTCTGATCAGTGTTATGCAATTTGCTCATCTTTTAAACCTAGATTTTGTTGGTTAAACCGAAGCTTTTGAGAGTTTTATTTTAACATTCTAGTAATGATAGATGATTTAACATGGGCTTCTTACCCTCAATATCTTCGCTTCACACGATGCCTGTTAACTTCATAGATAGAGATCCAAACATCAAATCTTTTAACATTTTTGGGATTTGATGTGATCCAGTTTGGTAATCTTACACACACATTATAGGCATAAACCTTCCCAAACCTCGTTTATTTTAAGAATAATCCTTCGGATAACGTAAAATTTTCACGATAATCCTCATCTTATAATGTTTTTACATTTCTTTTTCATAATTTCGATCGATTTTATCCTCTTGTTTAGTGACATTTTCTGTATAAAGTAGATATTGCGTATATTTTTTGAACTTATTATATAACAATGTTTTAATTGAATAATTTAATTAAAGATGTATAGAATTATTAGTTAATATAAATAGGGTAAAGTACACAAATGATCATTTGACTATAGTGTATTGTTTTGTTGAGTCTTCAATTATTAAAAATTACAAAATAATCCTTTGACTATGTGATGTTGTTTTGTTGGGTTCTTCAACTATTAAAAGTTACAAAATGGTTATCGACTATTCATATGTTCTAAACTCGTCCTTTTTTGGTAAAAGATTGAAGGTCATCTGAGTTGTATATTAATATTATGACTGAGATATGATAGTCGTTTGATATTTTGGGATAAGATTTTAGCATATCTTAGCCAGTAGGTTAACGTCCAGCTCATACTGTCAATTTTTTTAAAAAAAAGATGAGTTTGGAACATATGAACAGTGAGATGATAATTTTGTAATTTTTAATAGTCGATGGACTCAACAAAATAACGCCTCATAATTACATGTATTTTATAACTTTTAATAGTCGGAGGATTTAACAAAACAATGTTCTACAGTCGATAACATTTGTAACTTTTAAACTTTTTTCCCTAAAATGATAAGTACTCGTGAATTTAATTAACTTAAATCATGTTTATCCTATTATATCTAATTAGTATGTGTCACTCTATCCGTGAGAATGCATTATATTATTACCATCATCGTATTACTTGAAACTTTGGTTGATTGATCGATCATTTTAGAGCATCAAATTAAAGGGGAAAATAAAGAAAAGAAAGAAGAAAAAAAGTTCTCCATGAAAACAAAATCCGGAAAAACTTAACCGATCAAGCTTATTTTGAAGAAAAGAAGGGGTTGAGACGTCGTCGTATAGAGCCATGTCTTACGACTATCTTTTCAAGTACATTATCATCGGTGACACTGGTTCGTCTATACACCGTATTTCTCTGTTTAAATTTCTGCATTTGGGATTCTTTGTTAGTATTTTTTTATGGGGACTGATTGGTTTGTGGTGCAGGCGTAGGAAAATCATGTCTGCTCTTGCAGTTTACGGACAAGAGATTCCAACCGGTTCATGATCTAACCATCGGTGTTGAATTCGGTGCTCGGATGGTCTCCATTGATGACAGACCCATTAAGCTTCAAATCTGGGATACCGTTAGATGCTTTTCCCCTTTTTTTTTTGTTCTCTCTAGTGAAAAGAGTATTCATTTGTTTTTACCAATTTTAGATGTTGGCTATGAGTAACTTTGGAAATTCTGTTAAAATATTATGTTCATGTGTTTTCTTTGACTGTTTAGGGAAAATGGTGTTTAAAATTAATGAAGTTCTTGGCCGTTGGGCATAGATGAATTTTGTTTAGGATCACAAGTTGGTGACGGGAAATATGGGTTTACTTTGGAGTAAAATTTCGTAGGAATTTAAATTTATTTTACGCGGAATGATTGGTATTGGGTTGGTTTATGGTTTGAATTATTTTACTCCTATTGGAGTGTAGGTGTCAGATACGAATATGTATTTAGTATTGTCTGTTCAATTTTCTTTAAGTTTATTATGTGGGTTTGAAATGAGTATGTATTCAATATCTCATTCCTGTATCCCGTACCCGGATACATTAGACATAGGTATTTGTTCATTTGTTTCCTATAACTCCATGAAAAGGAGACTAGTTACTCATTTGGTAGTTGCTTCCTACTCAAGGAATGTGGAACCAAATGAAATGTAGCTTTTCATTTGCTTATAAATGAATATTTATAAGGTTTTCATTTTCTTATAAATTGATAAACATATATGTATATTTATATATTTTAGGCTGGCCAAGAATCCTTTAGATCCATCACTAGATCTTACTACAGAGGAGCGGCAGGAGCCCTTCTGGTCTATGATATAACCAGGTGAGATGCCAAATTGTCTTACTCTGCTCGAGTATTGAGTTTTGAATCTATATCGCTCCGATTCGGGTGTTAGAATAAATAATTAATGCAAGTGTGTTCAATTTTTTTCATGTGTCGGATATAAATACTTCAAGTAAAATGAAGAGTCCAAACAATATAATTGTAAAGAAATGAAGGTTCCAAGTTCCGACAGCTACTGTTTTTCTTTTCCCCTGGTCAAATCTAGTTCTTCAACATTTGAAACTGAACTGCAAAGTAACACTGTTGGAACAGGAGAGAGACGTTTAATCATCTGATGAGCTGGTTAGATGATGCTCGACAGCATGGGAACCCGAACATGGCCGTCATGGTGATCGGGAATAAGTGTGATCTTTCTCACCGGAGGGCGGTTAGCAAAGAAGAGGGTGAGCAGTTTGCAAACGAAAATGAGCTTTTATTCTTGGAAACGTCTGCAAGGACATCTCAAAATGCCGAGGAGGTAAGTGTTATCCCCCCTAAGTGGTACATAATATATATTGTTCCAACATTTTTATTTTCCTGTAAGTACTCATGTTCGACATCTATATTTTATATGGATAGAAAAAATTGAACGTACTCGGCTCTCACACCCAACTAATACGGCACTGTATAACTTTATATTTTTCTTTAATTAATGTTCGAATGAAAATATTGCATGATCTTGTAGGCCTTCATCATGACTGCTGCAAAGATACTCCAGAACATTAAGGAAGGGATCTTTAACGTTTCCGATGAGGTATAAGAATATAATCTACTAAAAGAAAACTATAATACATCCATACCGGACCCTCCAAATGTGTGAAGCATTTCCACTTACATTAATCCGTAGAAGCATTTTCATTTACATTAATCCGTCGAAGAAGCATTTTCATTTACATAAATCCCTAGATGGTCTTGGCTTTATCGTTTTCCATTCATAAGAACTCCATAAGTACATCTCACTTACAGACCGATTCATTGAACTTAATGCAGTCATCTGGCATCAAGATCGGCTATGGACGAGGACAAGGTATAACTGGTGCTAGAGAGGGATCCATTGGTCAGAGAGGTATCTGTTGCAGTCAGTAGACAAAAGAATATGTGTCTGTATTAGATCCCTTCAACCCAATTCATTTCTTATCACTTTGCTTTGATTCATATTCTTTTAAGATGTTGTTCAACATAAGAACATTGGATTTATAGAACTTGTCTTCCCTTTTTATTTTTTACGAAACTCGGAATTCACATCTTTGTCTCTTTTTAAATTCGAGGCAGTTGCATAGTAATATATTTACTTCTTATTCCAATTTAGTTTCCAGTTTTTACACCCTTACCACCCTGCAGGGGTAAACCAATTTATGTTAGAAACAGAACAGAATTCCAGTCAGATGAGCCCTCATCCAAAATTGTTTCATATTGAGATAAATCATACCAAAAATACAAGGAAACTGTTGTTCAACCTTTATGTAAAACCGGATTAAAACTCGAACGACTACAAATATTCCATGAACTTTTCTATTTCTAATGCTTCTTGAGGAGAACAACATTTCAATAATTGAACGATAAATAGATAAGTACCTACACAGTTGCTACTCTTCGGACATTGTGTGCCGACCTAGCACTTAGAGAACTTTGTGCTCTTGATTACTAAGAACCAGTGAATATCTGTGCAATGATTACAGGACGAAAGCTTCAGAGAACAAACTACAAAAGAAAACAAATACAGTTGTCGCTTACTTGGTTATCAAGTTACACTTACCCCAGCAAGGAAATCTTTAGAGAGTCGCGGTTTGCCTTGAGATGAACCAACTGCAACTGGTTTTTACTGCCGGAATTGACGAATCACCTTCTTCTGGGTAACCGGCAGCTCAGAATTCATTCCAGACTCCTCTTGCACTTTCTGCTTCTGTAGAGAGTCAGAAACACGAGGAACTCAACATGCATGCAAAATTACGTATTTGGTTTTGTAAATTTCTTCAAGGCCACATAATGTAGAATTGCAGATATATCGAATCTACAACTATCATCAATGGCAACAAATGAGTTACATGAAAAATGTAGTCGTTTAGCTTCTTCATTCGCTCTTCAATCGCATTTAGGGCACAGGATTGGTCAACTTTTGAGAGATAGAAATCACGCTCCCTCTTGGCAGCAGAGAGCTCTAAAGCTAGCTTCTGCTCCCTAATTGCGCTCTTGTAAGCTATATGAGAAAAGAAATCAACTTAGACACGCCACAACTGACAACACACATTCACAGTAGTGTGTGTGTGTGTATATAGGCACTAAAATCATTGCAAAACAAAAAGACATAAACCAACAAATTACCAATATCTTCGGTAAGATCGTCCCACTTGAATTTGCTCAAAGTATTTGATATTCCAAAGATCATAATAAAGAGACGACCTCTTCCTTCCACCTGATCAAGGTGTAAAAAGATCACAAATATAAGAACAACCCATATAAATCACAAAATACTAATATCTAAGTTACTCGGCTTCAGGTATGAGGGTCAGATATGGGTATGTGTCCGTCACAAATATTACTTCTAACCCATATCCAAATATGCATTGGACATGAGTGTCCAACATGAATATTCGAAGCAAAATGAACAGTCGAAACAACATAGATATGGATTAAAAGGAAGAAACAAGGCATTGCAATTAATTCCCATACCAATTTGTTCACCATTTAACATATTAGCAACCCTCTTTGCAATCCCTTTCCTAGCAAATTCAACCCACCTACAGGGGGGGAAACAATAAACCCATTGTTGAACCGTATCATACCAACATCTTCAAGCTTTTAAGGGGGAAAAAGGACCACACATAAGGGGAAATCTTTAAAAATTAGCAATAAACTTTGTTCTTTAACCTTGGAGGGTCTAGGGCGTTTACCATTTACTTGGGGTTCAATAACAAAACTAATAAAACCCAATCCTTCGTAAAGATGACAACTAAAGAAAAAACCCATTTTTGAGCTGTGAATTTCATGTATATTTACTCAACAGAAGGAGTGAGATAAATCCGAAGTACTTCCCCATACTGAGTAAGCAATTGGCGTAGTTTGACATGATCTACGTGTGGTGGAACTCTGCTTAAATAAAAACCCCACGATTATCAGCCTCAGCAGTTTCCTTCAACAATTTCGTCTTTTTCTTCTTCTTCTTCTTCTGATAGCTGTCGGGTATACTATTTTCATAATCAAAGTCATCATCTTTATCATTATCATAAGCCACTTGTTTCTCTTCTTCAACCATTGAAGCTTCCTTGTCAGTTTCAGCAAACCTATCGTCATATTTCAAATACTTAAAATAGCCGTGTCGCCACCGCTAAAGAGATTAATAGCGGTGTAGAGAAAATTTCACTCCGCAAATAACAGAAACGGGAAATCGCAGCGATAACCGTCCGCTATTTCTGCTAAACGGATACCTTTTGACAAAATTCGATGAAACAGAGTAGCAAGCAATACGATAAAAAAAACATAGCAGAGTGATGCAGAAGCAGGGAGCAGACAACTGAAAATCTCAGGAGTGAATAGAAATCCTCAGGAGTGAATAGAAATCCTCATGTTGAATTTAGGGTTTCAAAATCACCTTATTTAAATTGCCGGTCCGTCGGTAACTTGAAGCCTCCCAGGCTTGTTTGGCGGCCGGGGATGTGCGAAGATTGATAGTGTGTGTAACTTTATAGTATTTAACTCCACTTAAAATATTGTTCTTATCAATAATATTATATTTTTAATAAAAAAATTCAAGATAATTATTTAATATAATTATGTGAACTACAAAAAAAAAAAGAATATTGATCGTAATTTAAGAAGCGAAATAATGAGAAAAATAAATAATTTTTTCAATCAATATATCTTAATATATACAAATACTTCGTCAAGCCTATTCACTATTTGCAAAGCCTATTCACTATTTGCATATTCTCAAACAACAAAATAAAAAGAACAATTTGTAGTATAGAACGATTAAAAGTAAAGCTTTAGTTTCGATCTGATCGGACTCCGGCATATTGGGCAGGTTTCGAGTTCTTCCGAACATTCCTCACATGTCTGAGGAAAACAAAAACAAAAGGAAATGGTCATATAATCTCTGCAAACATCCATGGCAAGAACTAAGGGAAAATCGCATTAGAGACATGTTACCTGATGCCCGCAACCAAATGCAATGCCTCTCGAGTTACTAAGACAAATGGGACAAAGCTGTTCAGAACAACAGTTAAAGGATTAGCCTTGAACATTATTTACAGAACATTTATATGTTCCAAACCTTGTCTTGAATGCCAAGGAAGAATGCTATGAAATTCCTGTACCTGGCTATCATAAGTAGAAGTTGTATCTTCGGGATACGGAGGGACACTTGGTCGGAAACCGGTGAGGTGAGATGGTTTCGAGCTGTTGAAAGATGCAGCACCGTATGTACGCGGAGGTAGGGGAATTCTCTCCGGAACATTTCCTTTTCGAACACTGTACAAGTAAATTGAAAATTGCCATCGCCACTTGAGTTTGCAAAAGGCTTAAAATGAACTACGGAGAAGTGAGTATTACCCCAGAATGTTATGCTCAATAGTCGCCTTGTACTGTGATGGGATCTCCATTAGAGCAGCTAGAGCGAATTCCGCCTCCTTGCGTGACGGAGCTATATTCTTTGACATGATCTCCGTGAAATTTACGAACTAGGGAAAGAGAACACCACGAGGACAACCTTAATAACTGAAGCATGAACAATATCAAACATGAAACATCTAGCATGCAATCAGAATTTACCTGGAAATTATCGAAGGCTCGAGCTGGTATGTTGTCGTCGAACTGCTTCATCATATCCCAAGGTCCATCTCCGACACCGACCACTATAATTGAAAGCGGAAGCTTGCTGTAATATGCCAAACAAAATGTAAGAAACAATTTTTGCAATGAAAATAAATAAATTGAATAAAGCAGGATCCATAACGTTTACCTTGCTTGCACTATGGCATCAACCGTCTTCTGCTCTTGCGGACTTAACCTGCCATGCCTAGTATCAACACTTCCAGTTACCTGAAACAACCGCTGGTATTCGTCATATTAAACCGGTATGAAACTACAGCAAAGACCGGAAATAATACCTGTCCATCGGCAATTATCACTAACACATGGTACTGGCCACAGCTCTGCTCAACAATGGTCATTGCCATTTCAATGATAGGAGCAAACGATGTAGGTCCTGCAAGAATAATAGTTATTTATCAGATTAGTTTCAAAAGGCAGATCGAAACACCGATGAAAAATGAGAGATTAATAGAAACCTGAAAGACGTAGATGAGGCACGATTTCTCTATATCGGCTTAAGAGTTCAGCAAAGCCGTTACAAAATCTCTTGTCCGGGTAGAAACTGAAGACATCATGGTCATGTGTTGATGCTGCCAACAAATGTGAGTACATTCTTAGCATCAGCATTAATAAACAGGCTCGGTTAAAAACCGAAGTAGATACGTACCATCACCGAATCCGAAACAAGGAATCAAGTTATCCTCATCAAAGACAGCTAGGGTTCTCCCAATGATTGATATTGCTTGTTCATATGGATTCAAACCATTTCCAATATGGTGCAAACTTTTGCCATTGAATGATCTTTTACCTACAAAACAAGCCACATTCAGCAGGTTTTACAATGGCTCATAACATACATTACTGGCGTGGTTAAGACATCGATCTTAACCTGTCCACTGGTTACTCTTCGTGAAATCGATCCCAACAATGAGATTCGACGATTCAAGGCCAGCATTCACGAGAGCCTCCGTCACCTACTCAATGGAAAAAGTTGTCACCTAAGGAATTACTCCATCAACTTGTAACAAAAGAAAGCAATATATAATAGATATTAACCTGATCTAAGGAGCGGTAGTTATCTGCAATTGTCGAATACCTCCTCTGCAGCACCCTTCTATCACTTCCACGTTCTCGTGAAGACGGATTATAATCCTGCAGCACTTGTCCGGACGGTGGAAAATACGCTGGCTCGTGTTTCATATGTGGATAATAGGACGGTGACCGCGGCGCAATAATCGAGCTTTCTTGATCGTATGAATATTGATTATACCACAAATAAGAATCCCATGATGATGAATTTGAACGATTCAATGAACCCTGCCTCCAACTCCCTTCCCTTGAATTACTAATCCCCATTAACTCCGATTTTACGAAGAATTCATCAACAACTAAAGCTAAATATATAAGGATAGCTTTAAACCAAAAGGACAATAACAAGAAGATGCCACGAAAGAATGATGATTGAGTAATGGAGTCTCCAAGAATCAAAACCCTGCTCTTCACTGTTATCGATCCAGTACACGAAATCTGTATAAACCAATTAAAAATGAAAACCCCACCAGGCATATATTATATACAAGGATAGAGACTAATTAGATCTTCGGAGAAACTTCAAAGTTTACTGTATTTCTACCAAATATTCCAGAGACCAATTCAGAAACTCATGCCAGATAAGTGATATTCTGGAAGGGAGAAAAAAATGAAGTTTAGAAGCGAAAAGTCAATAACTTTATGACTTTGGGACGAAGAGAATATCCCGTGCCCTTGAGGAAGTTGCTTAGTATTTTACTGAGAGCTTGAGTGTAGGATGTGGGTATCTTATTTGCTTTTGAAATTATTCAGATGAGTTCATTGATCAATGATTACTCCATAACCTATTGAAAGAAGAGAAAAAATGGCAAAGCATCTTTTGATACTAAACTCGCCTTTCGATACTGTGTTGGTATTATTATACCTCCGAAAATATCACTCTTCATCAACATACTAACAACAACAACAACTCAAGCCGATTCACTTTTGGTTTTTTATCTGACACTGAAACTTCAAAATTACTATTCAATCTATGAAACCATTTATAACCCATTAAACTTTGTTTATGGTTTCAATTTTAAGTTTTCTATTTTTACTTTTTAATAATTCGTATATTATTCCATAATTAATTAATAATAAATAAAAAAATAATATCTGATCTACTCATTTTTAAGGGTGTATTCGGTTCGGTTCGGTTCGGTTCAGTTTTTTATCAAAAATTGAACTGAACCGAAATAAACGTGTTTTCAATATTTAAACCGAAACCGAATAGTTAAAAAATCGAAAAAATCGAAACCGGTTTTTTCGGTTCGGTTCGGTTTTTTTAACGGTTTGGGTTTTTCGGTTCGGTTTATCGGTTTTTTAATAAAAAAATCACTTGAAACTATAATTTTTTTTTACAAAAATTGCCTATTCGGTTCAATATGGAACAAATGGGTTCTATATGGAAAACCCGAACCGAACCGAATCAAAAAAATGAAGCCTTTAAACCGAACCGAAAACCGAATCGTTTAAAGTCAAACCAAACCGAACCGAACCGTTTTACTCAATTCGTGTCGGTTTTTCAGTTTTCTCGGTTTCGTTGCTCAACCCTACTCATTTTATTGTCGTGTGAAGTACCTTTTATTATTTAATTACTATATTTTTTTTATAAATTTGATAAGTATGAACTTTTAATTCTCCTTATTTTATAATTTCATAGGCTTTTAGAGTAGTAATCTTATTTATACTTTAGATTTACAATAATAAAAAATTATTTACCAATTGAATATTAATTAGATTAAATAAAAATAATTAAAATAAAAACCGATGATATTTTTATTTTTGTTAAGTAAGAAGTGAATGGATATTAAATTAATAAAAAAATTATGCAGTTGGTGAAAAATTGAAGGGTAAACTACACATTTAGTATTTTAATTATCAGTTTGTTTAGTTTTAGTACCTAAGCTTTTATTTGTTTCATAATCATACATAATATTCATTTTTGTTTCATTTTAGTACTCCTTTGTTAAAAACTT